TTTATATTTCGAGCTCAAAAAATGTGTTCATGTTCAGCTCGTTTGCTTAACAAGCTGAACACGAGCTGTTCACGAAGTGAAAGCTTATAGTGGTTGGGTTGGAGTCATTGCTAGGGGTTCAAGCAAAAGGTAGAGCTCCTATTATAACTTGTAAGGAGGTTGTATCGACAACCCTCTAATGCTCAGTGCAAGATGTTGAGTCAGACCTTTCAATCTTCAAAATTTTCAGGTTTGTCTTTAAATGCAGTGTTATGGGCTTTGATGGAGTCTTGCGGAGGCTTGCATCCATTAGGCATTGAAGTTGCTTCAGCTGCGGACTTAACAACAAAAATCTCTAAGCCGACTGGTGACAATCAACAACTAAACGACGATGATGGTAGACAGTTGATCGATCTTTTAGGTCTTTCAGAGAGATTTGCAGGGGACGACCGATGTCTTTGGGCCTCTTGAATGTCAAATGGATGAGGTGGTCAATTACTTTGTGCAGACAACTAATGATTCTGAAGGTGGAGTATTGCGGGAGTTGTTGGCCTATGTCGAGTGACATGCATCGATTTTAGGTGATTTAAACTACATTTTAACGTGAATTTTACTTATTATTTTTGTTGATTTATCAAATATTTATACTTGAGAAAGGCTTTTATTTATGTTGTGCATATTATAGGTGTAGAAAATGAACATTTTTGAACAAGAAAATTTAATGAAAAAAGGGCCTAAAGTATTGTGACCATGCCTGGAAGCAACATGAACACACCATTTCATCGAGATTATTGGTGTGACCACGCCATAACTATAGACCTACGACATGACCAAATGAGGGTTGGGCATTACCACGTCGCCCAGTTTAGATACCTAGTGAGACCACTCCACATTCAACATGACCATGCCGACGAAGCAGTAAATCATTTTGGAAAGAAATTCCCTTACTAAATTTGTGGATTCAGATATAAAAATGATACTTAGAGATTTTTGGGAGAGGAGGAGAGTTATGAGACAATTAAAGATAAAGATTAGGGTGATTTTTAGTGCTTCATTTATGTTTTCTTCCTTCCTTGTGTTGAAACCTTTGGGCTAGGTTTTCTACCTTGTATTCTTGAGAGTTTTGAGAGAGTTTGTATGAGAGGGAGAAGTGTTGTTCTTTGAGAGAGGACAAATCTTGATTGTAAATGTTACTTTATTTTGTATTTTGCAATGAAGATCTGCATGAATTTCTTGTCTTTTATTTTCTCGACAGTGCGTAGCTAAACTCTCTTTCGTGTCTCTGTGATGTTGGAGTAGTGTTTTTTCTTGTGATTTTCTGAGAAGTTTTTCCTGTAGCATTTTCTGTGCTTTCATGGCCTATGTTGTTGGTTAACCTCCAAGTTTAATTTACTCCTACTCTGGCTAACTAGGATGTTAAAATCTTCCATGAAACTATGACCTCTAACCGTTGCATAGCAAAAATGAAAGGGTTAACCATATAATTATGAGAGGATGGACATATTTAAGTAGGATTCTGCAACTATTTATGTAGAATATCATGGGGATTGAGGAAGCTTCAACTTCATTGATATTGATCTTCTTTTGATCTATATATAGGCATACGAAGAGATTATAATTCTGGTTGACAACTATCACGTAGATAAATATTTAAGAACACCACAATCCACTCAGATCCTCAAATCACAGAGGCATGAGTTTCATCACTCTTGAATAACTCTTAAGATTTTCTCTGTCTTCTGTGTTTCTAGCATCTGCTCTCTAATTCTGTTAGGATTTTAGGATTCAAACATCTCTTGCGATCACGACAAGCTATGTTCACAAGATTAGTAAACTATAGTTTTTTCTTCAGAAATAACTGTTAGACCTTTCCTCGTGGGTCGATAAACGAACTATTATATTGCTTGCTACTTGCAACATGGACTTGTGTTGAACAACTGGGGGTGTAAATGAGCCGAACACGAGCGAGCCGTGTTCAGCTCATGTTTAGTTCGTTTATATTTCGAGCTCAAAAAATGTGTTCATGTTCAGCTCGTTTGCTTAACAAGCTGAACACGAGCTGTTCACGAACAAAGAGTCATTTTAACAACTCTATTCATGTAGCCATAAGACAATAAGGGTTTGAGCAATATTTATAAATTATTATTTATATTAAAACATCATTTGAATCTAATTTAATAATTTTTATTATATTTTCTCAATCAATATTTTAATTGATTATAAATCTTTGTAATTTTCTAGTCAATTAGATTTTTTTTAAATACTACTTTATATATATATATATATATATATATATAAACTTGATGAGTAGTATTTCGAGCCAAAAC